TACCCTAACCCTGAAACCCAACTCTAGGGACCCCAGGATGGACCCCTAACAGGGACCCTTAATCCCATTACCATATGTAACCCTCATATAGTCATTATATAACCCCTATATCCCTAGGATGTCCCCATATTAGTCCCTATAAGCTACAAGGGTCCCTATTAGAGGTCCCTCCAAAAGTCCTTAGACTTGGAGTCTTGAGAACAAGGAGCTGCACTCCGGACCTGAAATTAGGGTTTAGGGTTTGAGGGTTTAAATTAGGGTTTAGGGTTTGGGGTTTAGGGTTTGGGGTTTGGGGTTTAGGGTTTAGGGTTTGGGGTTTAGTGTTTAGTGTTTAGGGTTTGGAGTTTAGGGTTTGGGGTTTAGGGTTTGGGGTTTAGGGTTTGGGGTTTAGGGTTTAGGGTTTGGGGTTTAGGGTTTAGGGTTCTGAAAGCCCTAACCCTGAACCGTAAGATACCATACTCCCTGAATCCTGACACACTCTGTCTTCCCAAAGGCGCGCTCAAGGCCCCCAAGGCTCTAGCTTCCATGCCTGGGTCCTTGTCAAACTTTACTTTGCATCTGTTTCGTTTAATTCAACCCCACCAGGAAGTATGAAATATAATTAGTTTCCATGACTGGCCCACAAGGGAACCAGATAGGCGCAGGCCTTAATCACAGAAGCCACTCTAACCCATAAACGGTATCCAGGAACTCAAGCGCCTACATCTAGGTTTCAACGCCCGAAAGTGTCCAAATCGAACACCACCAATCCCCCCCCAAAACCTCTCTAGAAAGCCTTAATCCAAGGTTGGAACCCTAAAGCTCCTGGTACGGGCACTTAATCCTGGGGTTGGGGTTCTGACATGCGCAGTATATCTTAAGCGCCCATGCCATAGTAGGGGCCCAAACCCTAACCCTAAGCCCTAAACCCTAAACCCTAAACCGCTTCTAAGCTTAGAGCCAATGTGCGCCAGGTCCTGAAACCTCGATAGGCGAGGAGCTTGGAATCACTGACATGTACATGACTTTTGCCTAGGTTCCCTTCAAGGATTGAGGGCCCTAAACCCTGAACCTTTTAGCCCTAAACCCTTAAGCTCTAAACAATGATCCATAAGCCCTGATCAGAGCTGGGCCAAGGCGCTAAACCGCGAAACCCCTTTCTGATGGTTGCTATACTCCTAAGACAGATCTAAGTTGGTGCTCCCCAGCACCAAAGGCTTAGGGTTTAGAGTTTAGGGTTTAGGTGTTTAGGGTTTAGGGTTTAGAGTTTAGGGTTCAGGGCTACATCCCTGCAATGTTCTTTAGATGTCTAATCTACTCGGAGGGAGATGGTAGTTTGTCCATAAGTAGGAGGGCCCCAATATCGACACTACAATCCTTATAGTGGTGCCCCCAAGAAGGTACCTCTAATTTTGGGCAAGCCCTCGATAATTGCAGCGTTTTGTCTAGGTTGCAACGGTGGCCTAGTGGTCGCACTGTCAGACGCTTTGGGGGAAACATAGCTACGGCTACCCATATCCCAGAGCAGGATCAAATAGACCGCTCTGATAAGTTTAGCAGCAAAGGACCAGCCCTAAAGCTTATAGTCCCCCTTAGGTAGATAGAATATGGCTTTGGGTATATTAAAAAGATGCCCATATACCCCATATTCTATCTACTTAAGGGGGACTATAACACCTAAACCCTTGAACATATTGAGACGCCACTGCTAGATCCCATGGTTTCCTTCTGCTTCCAAGGATATCCTACCTGAGTAGATGTTTAGGGTTCATGGCGTTCAGAGTTTATAGGGTTTATGGTTTTAGGGTGTAAGGGTTTGGGGTTTGGGGTCTGTAGGGTTTAGGTTAAAGCGAGTTAAAGGTAAACCAACTATCACTAGCTATTCGATTGAGGAGATTCGTAGCCACGGCATTGCCTGCTTGCTACAGGGCCTACATAACCACCATAAACCCCGCCTGCAAAACCCCAGCGTCCATTTCAATTTCCGTTGCCTTTTGCATTTGATGCTCTATTCTCTTGCCTGAACCTTTCATCCAATAAATATATATATATATACGTAT